AGGCTCCTTCCAGGCTGTCGTCTTCCTCAGGATCTCCTGCAGCTTCTCCACTCTGACCCTCCTCAAGTGGGAGAGTTTCCTCATGACTGCAAACTGCTCCAGGAAGGTCTCCAAGGGCAAATCCCCCTCCAGGAACTTCTCAGCTGTTTTCTGGAGGAGAAGATAGAAGGGGGAGGTTCAGGGCTGCACCACCAACTCTGCTTCCCCAAACCCAGCTTAGGATTTAAGTCTTGCTCAGAGATTGTTGCACCCCCACACAAGCAAAGGGGTTTTCCAAATCCTTGGAGCCAAACGACAGAGAGAACACCTGGATTTAAAGGAATAATTTTGGGAGTGTAACTCCAAATCTTTGAGGAATAATCATTTCAGTTGTAATCCCTTGTTGGCCCAAAAGGCCACCAGCATCCTGGCTTGGATCAGCACTGGTGTGGCCAGCAGCAGGGCAGGGATCTTCCAACCTAAATGATTCAATGAACTGCTAATGGAGAGAAAGCTTCAGCTCACCTCAGACTCCTCTTCTATTTTCTGGCTTTCTACCTGCAGGAGATCCAGCAAGGTCTGTGGGTGCATTGCTGCTGAGAATTTCTCTGGGGGGGAGCAAAGAGCAGAGTGAGTTAAACACCCAACAGGGAAAAAAATCCTCAGTGCTCAGCCCTGCTCTGCCCTCACCCTCCTGCCCTGGGCACTGCTACAGAGTCACAGAGCTGCTGAGGTTGGAAAGGACCTTTCAGCTCCTGGAGTCCCACCACCCCCCAGCCCTGCCAGGTCCCCACTGCCCCGTGTCCCTCACCCCACATCTCCACGGCTTGGAAACCCCTCCAGGGGTGGGGACTCCACCACTGCCCTGGGCAGCCTGGCACAGCCCTGGGCAACCCTCCAGGGCAAGAAATTGTTCCTCAGGGACAACTGAAACCTCCCCTGGGGTGACTTGAGGCCCTTTTCCCTCCCTCCAGGCTCCTGTCAGGAGCTGTGCAGAGCCAGAAGGTCTCCCCTGAGCCTCCTTTGCTCCAGGCTCAGCACCCCCAGCTCCCTCAGCTGCTCCTCCCCACACTTGGGCTCTAGACCCTTCCCCAGCAGCTCCGTTGCCCTTCTCTGGGCCTTCTGAAGAGGAACAAACCACAGCCACAGCTTCACTAGCTGGGCCAAGCACCTTTGTTTTGCCCCACTGAGACAGAGCAGGAAAGAGGAGTGTACACCTTCTCCACAGCCCTTTCTGCCAGCACCCTCACGAGTTTCTCTGCTCAGTGAGGGCAGGGAAGGCAGGAGCAGAAGAACCTCTCTGCAGGCACTCACCCAGTTTGGCCTTTTGCTCCTTGCAACGTTCAGCCAGCTTCTGCAGCTCCTCATATTTGCTGGAGAGCTCGGAGCGTCCCGTCTCCAGCGGCGCCTGGAACTTCAGGTTCTGCTCAGCCAAGCTCCTGTTGGCAGCCAGGGCCATCTCCCTCTCCAGCTGCAGCTCCTGAACCTGCACAAGGAGGCACGACAGTCCTGGAAGCACAGAATTTGGGAATCCCACAAGAGGTGAGGTGCTGGTGAGGCTCCACACCAACCTCCTGCGACTCCAGGGCCAGGCGCTCGATCTCCTCCGTGTTCTCCTGCAGCTCCTGGAGCTCCTCCACTGTCCTGTTCCTCAGGGTGTCCATCCTCCCACAAGAGCTGCACCCTCCTAGGATGGCAACAGCAAGTCAAAAAAAAAACCCCAGGTTTTTCTAAAGCCAACTGCAAATAGGTCTTAATCCTATTAGGGATGGAAAAGCAGCTTGAGCTGCTTCAAAGAGCTGCAGGAGAGAGGCTCCTGAGAGGAGAGTGGGACAGAAAACAGCACAGACCTGCTCAATAACCCTTTCCCTGCTGATTTTTAACCCCTTTTCACCACCCTCTCATCTCATTTGATGTGTTTTCTCTGTGTTTTCTTTTCTAGCTACACGGTGCCGTGGCTTCGTTTTTAGTGCTGCTTGTGGTTTAAAAAAAACACTAAAATATGACTAAAGATGACAAAATATGACTAAAATCAGAGAAATAATGGGTTTTCTGCTAGAGCAGGGTGCTCAGAGCCCCAACCAACCTCCCCTGGGATGGTGCCAGGGATGGGGCAGCGACCACCTCTCTGGGCAGCCTGGGCCAGGGGCTCACCCCCCTCAGCATCCAACATTTCTCCCTTCTCTCCAGTCTCAAGCTCCCTCTTGGAGCTTCAAACCATCCCCCCTTGTCCTGTCCCAACAGCTCCTGCTCCAAAATCCCCCCCCCAGCTTTCTGCCAGCCCCCAGAAGGTCTCCCCAGAGCCTTCTCCTCTCCAGGCTGATGAACCCCAACTCTCAGCCACACTCCCACGGGGAGGGAATGGGACATACCAACAGGATCTCAGCCTTGGCCTAGGGGCTGGTGGCTCTTCTACCTCTCTCCTGGGTGAGACATCCCAGTGCTGTCCCTCTGGGAAGGTTGTGGGAGGCTCTGCACGTGCACCAAGGGGAGGTTGGGGGGTTCCCAAACCTCCTCAGCCAGGATCCAGCCAAACCCGTCCCTGTAACAGCCTCCTAAAAAGCAGGAAATCAGCTCCCCTGGTGCATGAGGATGTCTGTAACTCCACAAACAGAAATAAAAGGGAGAGGGGAGTTGTGATTAATGAGAGTCATAAAGAATATGAGGGAAAAACGAGGAATACAGACACATGAGAAGCTCTGTCCCTGCTGCCAAACGGGAGGTCACGGCTGGGCTGTGGGAAGCGTCTGAACGGCCCCAAAGAGGGTGGAAACACCGAGCTGGGCACTGCCCCGGGGCCGGGCCTCTGGCCTAGCACCCCTCCCGTCAGACACGGCCCCCGCAGCTCGGGAAG